AAATCACAAATGCATGCATAGATACTAATTATAATTCCAGTATCTCCTCCTCTGTATCAGAATAATGTCTGAAATATCTTACTTACTAACTACATCCACTTACTTGTTTGAAATGAAATAGGAAATAACATGAAATGAAACTAACCGGAAGACTGATCACACAGCTCTGAATCCGAATCTGGCTGAACTTCTAGGTCTTCTCCATCCGAGTCACAAGGGTCGACTTCCCTCAGGATCATTTCCAAGGCCTGCTGAGTGGTGAGTCTTCTCTGCATTTTCTTTCCTTGGAGAGGAGGTCCGTACACCACAGAATTCTTCAGGGCAATGAAGGATTAGGCTAAGTGCAGTGAGATTGTATCATATATATAGGGCTTGGCTTCCTGATCAATGGTCCACTACCAAAAGGAAGCCAAGCCCTGCCACCCTTTATAACAAAACAAAATGTTGAAATTAAACTTAAACTTGGACTGTTAGAGATGACTGTTTCCTTAACATATTGTAAAATTGAGTTGGATACCAACCAATAATCAATACGTGACCTGCTTTGACCATTAGGTTTGTGCCAGGTGAATTGTTTTACATCTTTGTTTAACAATCTCCACACATCTATTAATTTAGTATCATTAGCGAAATTTTCAAATATTGGGTTTTTATGTTCTCTTGAAAATTTTGAAGGTCATCTATCCAACCATTCATCAGGAGTCACATTGAAATCACCTCCAACTACTATATAATCAGTAGGGAATTTGGTGTAAAGTTCCTTTATAACTGTAGAAATTTGATGCAGCAGGTTCTTATTCTCTTGATCATGGTTGTATCCATAAACATTAACCAAAATAATCAGAGTATTATCGGTATTTAACACACAGGCAACCCAATGTCCATTTTTGTCTGCCATGTTGCACAAAAGCCTACCAGGACATCTGTTGAAGCAAATAGCCGACCTGTTTGTACCATGACTAAAAAATTTTATCTCCCCATTGTTGTGACCAAAATTTCACATCAGCTTCCTCAGAATGAGTTTCCTGGGGAAAAAACAATTTGCCTGTTGCCCCAGAACAGAAAAACAGCTTTGCGCTTAATTGAGTCTTTAAGTCCCCTTGTGTTAATTCATTTTTACTTCTTACACTGTTCAACTAAAAACACTTTCAGAGGAAAGAGCAGGGAACTCACGTGACCCGGCAGTTGCGCTGCTTCTTCCGGTCTAAGCGCTCGTGTTTCCGGTCCGCCCACTGACAACAGCTACAGCCGCAGCAGTTTACGGCAGGTCGGGACCAGGCGCTTCCTCGTGAGCTCGGGGATTGGATCGGCTGACGGACCGGAGAGTCGGAGTGAGCCTCGGATCGGACCGTAAGTGCGCATGCTCAGTCGGCTGGTTCCTCAGCTGTTTGTCGGCTCGGAGAGTGTCAGTCAGCAGACGATACAAGTTTGGAGCCAAATTTCATTTAGCTATTAAAACACTTCACGTCTCCTACGGAGCAGCAGGTCTCTGTCTTCACGTCAATAAAGGTGAGATTTGATTGTTCGGTATCGTTCTCACTAAAGACCAACAAAGACGAGGCTCATTAAGCTTCAGTTTCAGTCGGTGTTCATTGAGCTCGGTCTCTGAGAGGGAGCGGGCATCTCCAGGTGAGCTGTAGAGCTGGGAATGGATCCTTGACTCTTCAGCTCAAAAATCAAAGAAATCTTCTGCAGTGAAAAAGCAAAGATAAGGCTGAAGATTTTTATAAAGAACTCTTCAATGATGAACTCTTATGAGAACGCTGCTGTCTGCCTCCTCTCTAAACAACACATTTATTATTACTCAGCTTCCTACAAGCATGTGTGATGTCATCTTGATATCCTGTCTAAAACTGGAGCTTTTGTTTCTTTGTCTGTAATTCTGATGTTGTTGAAACTGTGATGAAGAGGTCAGAGCTCTGTTCCAGGAGGAAGTCTTCTGTTGGAATCGCCTCGTCTCTGGTATTACCTGGAAGAAGGACGTGTCCACAGGTGTGTCCTACCATAGGTTTCCTTAAAACAGTCAAACTGTGATGCCACACACGAGTCTGTTCCTTTGTTCTGGCGTGCTCACACTGCACACGTTTATGTCAGACTATAAAAAGTGATCCCAGTGGTTTTGGAACGGCGTTTTATCCGGACCACATCAGGACAACAAGTTGTGAAACGTTGTGTGCTGTATAATTCATGTAATCTGTGTGCGACTGAGGCAGCTGCTGCGCTTGGACTTTGTTCTTTTGTGGAATAAAGTTTTGCTAGCAGCTCGCCATCATTTGATCCTCCTGCAGAGGCTGTGTGTGTGACTCTCACACGTCAGCTGACTGAGTCCTCTGTCTCCACAGGTCGTCCTGATGGAGGCGCTGTCCTGCGGGGAGCGGCGTCTGGGCTCTGACGAAGAGTACGCCGCCCCAGCTGTGGGAGTGAGTTTGTGTGACTCCGCCCCGTTGGTGTGGAGGATGCAGGACCTGAGGGCTGTTAGGGCTCAAGGCCTGGTGGGGGCACTCCTGGGGTCGCTGCCCCGAACGCCCCGACAGAACGGGCGCCTGGGTCGACCGCTGCTGCTGCTGCCGGAGGAGGAGGGGCTGCTGAGGGAGCGCCGCGCCGCTGCAGCCCTGCCGGACCGTTGCCAGGTCAGAGCGGGTCGTTAGAGGTGCTGGCGCTCATCGTGGCACCTCATTAAGCTGGCCGCCATGTTGGCTGTTCCGAGGTCACTGTCACCCTGTACGTACAGTTAGCGTGCCAGGCTGCAGACATGTTTATTTTAGCACGGGACTCTGTGGCACGGACTCACTGCTGGTTGTCATAGGAACTGCAAGGCCAAGCGTCCTGTGTGTTTGATGTGTTGTTGTTGTTCTCAGCAGGATTGGGGGGGGGCGGAGCTCCGTCAGAAGCACGAGGAGGAGGAGAAGAAGAGCTTTGAGGAGCAGAGCGTCCTCGCACTGGAGGACAGGAAGTTGGCGCTGCTCCGAGCTATGACAGGTGAGTGTTGCCGTGATAAGGTTTCTGCATTCTGTACCTGGCGCCTGCGCTCACGGTGCCCGTCCTCTCAGGTGCAGAGTCTGGCGCTACGAGTGCAGATGAAGCCCTGCGGCGCCGCCTGCAGGCTCTGGACCAGAACTTCACCTTCCCGCAGTCAGCAATGGCAGTCCAGCTGAGCACGGCGAGGGCGGGGCTAAGTTACTGTCCTGAAGCTCGAGCCTTCCTGCAGGCCTACGGGCCAACTGGGGCTGAGCCCCGCTGTGACGCCAGGTACCAGGTGTTCAGAGACCTACGGGGGCGGGGCTTCTACCTGACCTCAGCAGGAAAGTTTGGAGGAGACTTCCTGGTGTATCCAGGTGAGTGAGGAGCTCAACACCTGACCAGAATAATTCCTGAGGCTGACAGCCTGACATCACTGCTGACGTCAGTGATGTCAGGCTGCTGCTGACTCTGTGTGGTCATGTCTCGTCAGGTGACCCTCTGCGGTTCCACGCTCACTTTATCGCCGTCTGTGTGTCTCTGGATGAGTCCGTGTGTTTGCTGGATGTCCTCGCCGTGGCTCGTCTGGGATCCAACGTGAAGAAGACGGTCCTTCTGTGTTCGCCGGGGCCAGACGCCAGGGTCTGCTACACGTCGCTTCAGTGGAGCGGGATGATTTAAACCCGGGGGACAGGACAGACGGCGCCCGCCGGCCCATGTTAAGGCAGGTCCGCATCCTGCATCTAAAACCTGTTTCTGTAAGTTTGAGGCTGAAGAACAACTGCAGGAGGTCATGTGACTGACAGGGCGGAGCAGGGCCACGGCCTCTAAAGGACAGTAGAGCGTGATCGGTCTGCTCTTTGTTTCTGCGTGGCGAGCGTCACAGATGCAGCTCTCTGCAGCTCAGACTCATCCACGCGGTTTCTCTGATGAAGCCTGCCGTGCAGCCGAGTCCAGCTCTGACCTCCGAGCCGTTCGACAACTTTGTCTTAAAGCAGTGTGCTGGAGGTGAAAGGGCCCCGACAAACCCCGCCCACTTCTTTATTTCTTTTCATCAGTGACAGTGCGAGGAAACAAAGGACAGCTCTCCTTTTTTCAAAGATTGTATTTTCTCAGTGAGTCATTGTGTTGAAATAAAAGTGATGTGGCATTGATCTGTGATTTCTGCCCTGACCGGCAGACCTGCTGTGAACACGAGCCACACGAGGCAGTGACACTGAACAGAGGATGATCTGATATCCTCGTGTTGTTCCCACATCATCATAATAAATGTTGTCCCAGGTTCAACATTGCAACTGACCAATCACATTGTTGTGATGTCATACTTTTGCAAGCCAAGCGATTGATTCATTTATGACATTCCAGTGTTGCAAGGACAGCATGTGTAATGCTTACGGTTTATTAAAGAACAGTATCCTGAAATGCAAAGAATTACAGCTGCTGGATCGGCGACAGCGGCGGTTTCTCACAAGTTCAGTAGATTTTTTTTTTAACACAGCGTTTTTTCCGAAGTCACAAAAGTATGACGTCACAACAATGTGATTGGTCAGTTGCAATGTTGAACCTGGGACAACATTTATTATGATGATGTGGGAACAACACCAACACGAGGATATCTGTGCATGAACAGACGTGATAAAAGGTAACGATGCCAACAAGGATCAGAGCCGAGAGAAAATCAAACACACCCAAATTTACTGCAAAGTTTATAATATCAGATGAAAAGCTCTGGGAGAAGGTAGGGCTCCTCAATTCATTGAATTTTAATCACGATTACGATCTGGGCTTTCAACGATCATTAAAAATGACTGAGCCGATTATTAGCCCCTCCCTCGTGCTTTACTCTCGCGCTGCTCCGTGTGGCAAATCAAGCGCACCTCTCTGCATTTCCAACACACCTCACAACAATTAAGAGGACCCGAGGGAAGCTCGGAAAGCTGAGCAGAAGTTATTTGGAGAGGAGAGTGACTGCTGTTGGTTGAAGAGGTAAAAAAACTTCAGTGGTGTGGAAACATTATGGGTTCAGTCAGACGTGGATCAAGTAGACACAGTGTGTAAACTTTGCTACAGTAGCTGCACCACAGAGCAACACTGCAAAGCTCACTAAACACAGATGTTTACATTTTTCATTTATTTCTTATAAGACGTCACACACAACGCGCTCTGTTTAGACCCAGAGCAAACAATGTTTGACTGATGGCCCATAATATAAAAACTTCGGACTTTACGTTTCCCAATTTTTGCTTTAAGTTATTTTGTTATTTACATAATAATGTAAATAACCTAATAATGATCCTTATTGCTGTTTTAGAGGAGCGGTGCTTCAAAGGATAGCTGCAGATTTCTGTCAGAAGCTGCAGATTTCTGTCAGAAGCTGCAGATTATACAGTACAAAGAAAATGTTCACGTTGTCTTCCCAACAGTTTCACTGACATCTACCATGGATGTCCAGGAAGCGTTCACCATGTCTGCTCCACCGCTGATAATTGGCGTCTGTCTTGTGTCAGTGACGTAAAAGA